CTAAGAGCGCTTTGAGCTTAGTTTGTAGGGCAGGGCTCGGGGGGGTATAGGAGTTCGAGGGGGATGGGGGTTGGAGGACAAGGGAATAGGTGAGAGGGAACCCCGAGACGGGAGAGGGAGAGGAGAAGGACGGGGAATGGAGGCGGTCACGTCGTGCAGGGAAGAACCCTTTTTCTTCCCTAGTGCCGCTCCGAGGTTGTAAGGTGCTGGAGAGCCGGGGGGAGGTGGGGTCGCTCGGACAGGGGAGGGGGGAGATGGCGATGAGAGCGCCAAAAGGACGTAGGTTTTCTGGTGTTTGGGAGGTTGAGGTCTGGTGGTGGTAGCGGGGCTCGGATGAGGGGGAGATGTGGCCCGAGGAGGGCCATCTACTTAGACACGTCTTCTCTGTGGGACAGGGTTGCTTGGTGAGGGACGAGGGTGAGAGCGGTGCAGTACGAGACAGGGTGAATAGGTTTCCGGAGGACCAACCGTTCAGGTTAGTGGCGGTAAGGGGGAGGCGCCGCGCGGGCTACAATCCTCCCCCTGCGGTTTTCTGGAGGGTCTAGGAGCTGTGTGTCGTGGCAACGCTAACGCTTTCGTGGTTTCGCCGGACTATCCCGGGCCCCTGCAGTGGTGATCGGGCTTGTGCGGGATCCCTTTTCTTTATAAGGCTACTTCTCCCCTGGACCAGCCCAGGAAGGGACAGGTGGTGGAGGTCAGTTGTTTTAAGGTGGTTGCAAGGCGTCTTGTGGTGTCGAGTTCTCTTAGCCTTTCTCTCTTGGAGTTTTTTTGTTGGCCTGTTAGGTATATCAGGAGCCCTCCCCTGCCGGGACTGCCTTAACCGAATTTGTGTTTGTTTGTTTGTTTTCCCTTCGAATCCCGTTTTCGTTGGTGGTGTTTTTGGGGGTTGTTTCAGAGAGCCTTTGACTTTGCCCTAGCTGAGACTTGTGGACTCGCTCTAGCGGGACCTGAGAGCCCTTCGTGGTATATTCAATGCAGCGCCATCCCCGGAGGGAGGGGCTGCGGAGTGGCTGCGTAGAGTGTTGGCAGTCTGAGCCGGGGTCGGGAGCACACAAGACTAACCGACTTGTGCTGTGTGCTCCCGACCCTTGCGCTGTGTTTCGGCTTCGGCCCCCGGCTCTCGCGGCCCACAGTGTAATCTAAGTCATACATGCATACATACATACATACATACATACATACATACATACATACATACATACATACATACATACATACATACATACATACATACATACATACATACATACATACATACATACATGTGTGTATGTTCGTACGCAGGGTCACCTCCGTGTTACGGTTCAGGGGGAGATCATCGAGCAGCAGTTCGGTGAGAAGGAGGTTTGCTTCCGTACGCTGGATCTATACACAAGGTGCGAGGGGGAGTGTGGGGCAGAGGGGTACTTGATCCTGGGGAGGGGGCCCTAGGGGGAGGAGAGTGTGCGTGGGGGGGTGAGGAGGGAGGGGGTGACGAAGGGGAGGGCGGCATAGAGACCCCGGGGCGCGGGGAGCGATGGGAGGAGAAGGGAAAAGGTGGGCGGAAGGGAAGGAGGGAGGGATTAGTTTTCTTGCCTGGCCGCACCTTGAGCAAGGTATCTTCAAAGGGCGCCTGCCAAACCTGCTCCCGGCTCCCGGCTTTTATATACCCCACCGCGTCCAACCGTCTTTGTAACCCCTTTTCCTTCCCCCTCTTTCCCCCCCCAACACACACATGCACGGCTTTCCCCTCTTCTCCAGTGCCGTACTGGAGGCCGCTCTGGATCCTTCCCCCGCCCCCAGGCAGGAGTGGCGGGACCTCATGACCCTGCTGGCTGCCGACAGTTGCGACATGTACCGCTCTATCGTATACCGTACACCGGAGTTTTACGACTACTTTATGCAGTCCACGGCAGCGAGGTGGGTTTGTGCTGTTGGCTCCCCTCCCCTCTCTCCCCCCCACTTTCCCCCATTCGAATATTCAATGTTTCACCCAAACCCCTCATTCCAGTCGTACATTCGTACATTTCCCCCGGTTTTTCATTTTGGGTTAGCGTCAGTGACCGCGCGTGTAATCTCCCTGCCCCCGACATCCGCAGCTGGTTTCGGAGCAGCTGGACTCTTGCACCTTGTCATTCTCCCCCCACTCACCGTAAAACCCCCCCCGGTCCTCTCTTCCTCCCTCACCTCTCCGCTGCTTTCACAATCCTGTCTCCAAGGTTTCTGTCCTGTCTGTCTGTATGTGTGTTTGCATGTGTGTATGTATGTGGTTGTATGTTTCGCAGTGAGCTGGGTCGTCTGAATATCGGCTCCCGGCCCAGCAGCCGCAAGCAGGGGGGCATTGAGACGCTGAGGGCCATTCCCTGGATCTTTGCCTGGACGCAGCAGCGCCTGCACCTGCCCGTGTGGCTGGGTATTGGGGAGGCGCTGGAGAAGGCCGCGGAGAGGGGTGAGGGGGGTGGGGCGAGGGGAGAGGCCCTATGGTGTATGTGTGTGTGTATCCCTGCTCCTTGTTCTGCAGTCCACTTGCTTCCTTCCCCGTACATCTTTAGCGGGTAAAGAAAAGCAACACAGACATACACACATACACACAGACATACACACAGACATATACACAGACATACACACGAACACTCGATGAGTACGCGCAGCCCCCGTTGTACTTTTAACTTGTGCACTTGACGAAACATGGCATGGGCAACTCGCTGCGTAGCTCCAACCCGGCCCCCGGCCCCTACCTTCCCCCTCCGCGGCCCCCCTCCCTGGGCCCCCCCTCTCTTCAGGCTACCAGCCGGTACTTCAGGACATGTACGCCAACTGGCCCTTCTTCACCTCCACCCTCGACCTGGTAGAGATGGTGCTGGCCAAGGCGGATGCCAGGTTGTCCGCCTTCTACGAGCGGACGCTGGTGGAGCCGCGGCTGGCGGACCTGGGAGAGAGGCTGAGGAACCTGTGAGTGCGTGCGTGCGTGTATATATGTATGATGTATGTGTGTATGTATATGGGGGGCCTAGGTGTAAGGTGGGGTGGAGTGGTAGACCGGAATGGTCTGGATACGTAAGTGTATCTGGATACTATTTGTCTGCGCGTGTCCAACAGTCCATTTTTCGGCTGTAACTGTAACCTTCCCGCCGACCCCCACTGACCCATGGGTCGAATGACAACCCGCTCTCCCATTTAACTCCCACGCCCCGCCAGTTTGTCCAAGACCCAGTCCCACATTCTGATCGTCGTCCGCAAGAGCGCGCTGCTGGAGGGCAACACCCCCTCCCAGATGTCTACTCCCAACCTGGATGAGAAGATCCGGCTGAGGAGTCCCTACGTGGCGCCGCTCAACGTGCTGCAGGTAAGTGCGGGGGTGAAGTTGACGGCGGGTGATGGGGAGAGTGAGAGAGGGGTCGTGAGGGGAGGCGGTATCGGGGATGAAGTGGGGAGGGGGCTCGTTGCCGGTAAGAGGCGAGTGTGGGGTAGTGTGGGGTGTGTCTGGGGGGGTTAAGACGAATCACTGATGATTGAAGCAGGTGTGTGTGGGGGGGGTGGGGTGGGGGAAAGCGGGGAGCCCCGGGGGGAGCGATGAAGATGAAGATGGAGACCTCCGGACCCGTTGATCGGACCTCGGGTGGGGGGGATCCGGTCGCACGATCCCGTGAACGTTTACATGGAGGGAGGGATGGAAGGAGGGGATGCGGAGGGGGCAGGAAGGGAGGGAGGCTAACTGGGAGGTTGAGGGGTTTTGGCGCTTACGCGGCGAATCAACCTAGGGTCGCCAGAGTTTCGGTTGGGGTTGGCTTGTGGTGTTGTGTACCTGCTTGAGACAGGGGGGCCCGGTCTTGTACCTGCATTTATTCCCCCCCCTTCTGTCTTTTTTTCGTATATGCTTCCCCTCTGTCCGCCCTGCTTTCTCTTCCTCCACCCGCCGCCTTCCTCTCCCTGCCTCTGTCCGCCCTCGCCATGTCGTTCTCAGGCTCTGAGTCTCAAGGGCCTCCGAAAGTTCCGGGAGCAGGGACATGGGGGTGTGGGTGAGTGTGCGCGGTTGCGGTGTCTGGGATGTGATGTAGGTGGTCTGATCGAGGCGTCGCCGTTCCTCAGCCTGGGGCCCGCTGGGGCCGTAGCAGTTTCAATGATTCCCTTCTTTTTACAACATCCTCTTTTGAGTCGTTCTCCGGGCCCCTGTTCGATTCCCGCAGAGTACAATCCGTCCGACCCGGAGATCATCGATCTTCTGTCCCGCGACCCGCACAAGAAGGGCGACGGCGCACAGCACCCCTACGTGTCCGCGATGGACGACTGTCTGATGATCACCATCAAGGGCATTGCGGCGGGTGAGTGGGTGATAGAGGGGGGGGCGGCGGCTGAATTGGGGAGGAGAGGGGAAAGACTGAAGAGAGGGAGGGGTAGAGAAGATGGATCAGCGGAAGGGAAGGGTACATATGGAATGTAAGTGAGGGGGTCTAGGACTCCCCAAGTTTCTGGATTTTTCTCGTCTTGAAAAGTGTATGTGCACATACCCGTCCCGTTTTACTTCCGCCACCTCTCTCACCTCGCCACTACTCCCCGGTTCTGCGCTCCATGTCGTACAGGCATGCAAAACACAGGGTGAAGTGCAGTGGAGGCGGTGTACGAAGTAGGGTGGGAGAGGATTGCCGCTGCACCCAGTACCCTCGCCTAGTTAATGAGGAGGAGGTGGGCGCCATCAATTGCTGCTACTGCCCCTGCTGCTGCTGCTGCTGCTTGGTAGGGCTCCGTTGCCAACAATAACAACAACGGCAGCAGCAGCCTCACGAAAATGTGTAGTCGCTGGGTTCATGGCTGCAGCAGCTACGGCTTCACCCAGTGGTTGGGTGACGTTGTGGTCCAGCCGGTGGTCAAACTCCCCGTCCCCACCAGGTTGATTTCCTGTTATCTCGGCGTGCGCACTACATGCATGCACGTGTGTTGGAAATGTGTTTTGCGGATGCGCAGCGTCACTAGGTGTTGTGGACCAGGTTTGGGGGAAGGTGAAGGGACAAGGGCAGAAGGAAGGAAGGGGGAGAAGCAAAAGGAAAATTTCAAGGCGGGTGTTTATGGAAGTTGTGTTTTGCAGATCGTCTACTTGTCATTTTGGCTTTGCGAAGCAGGCGGATGTAAATTCGTGTGTGTATTTCCGTGCAGGTTTGCACGAGTGGTCGTGCGTGAGTTTTATGCGTGTACATAGCTAGCATAGTGAGGCCGGCACCTTGACACCGCGGGGCACTCACACTTGCCCTTACCAGCTGTCTCGTGCTGTGCTGCACTGATATTTATGGTCACGGTGTGTTTCCTTGATCTAGGCTGCGGGCGGGAAATGGCTTATGGGTAGGATGACACACAATTCTTGTGTGTGAGTGTGAGAGGGGGAAAGGGGTTGATGAAAACTTCTTCCATCGCACCTCTTCAACTTGTTTTTTTGTTAGTTCGTTTCACCCTTCGTGATTTGGTAATGCGACCTGTGTGAAGTCGGGATGATATTGGTTGTTCTCATCTCTACCCCATCCTTCTCCACCACCTGTTGGCTCTTCTTTGTTTTCCTTCCGTGTCAATGGACAATGCGCCAAAAGGAAGCTTCTGTGAGTGTGTGCATCTCTTCGTAATCATAAGGAAAAGGCATTGGGAGGCCTTAGTAGGACACACACCGACTAAAATCGGTGCCGCTTGTGTATGTGTATATGTGTACGGCCTTTCCTGGCCTTACCTGTGCGTGTAGGTCCTAGCAGTACAGTGGTGCGGCTAGCTCCTTGTGTACTGCACAAAAGAGAGAAAAACGGAGATGTTTGTGGACTTGGGCGCTTCTGCCCTACATCGCATCTATCTACCCTTTTGTACATCCTTATATCGTACATTGTAGATTGCACTGATGAATGGATGGACAGACAAACTCGTAAAGTTAGGTGAAAATAGATACAACTTAATTCTCGAAGGAAATCATTTAGTGTGAAGGTGACTGCTCCACCACCAGCAGCAGCGGCTGCTGCTTGAAAGTGGAGATTGACACAGCATGGCAATCTCCATGCTGTATTGTATAGGTTGTGTGCATGTATATGTGTGTGTGCTACATGATTGGGTGTGTGTGACCCCACACCTGTAGGACTACCCATACGAGCCAAAAGCCAAAGGGCAAGACTTTTGTATCACAATTACAGAAAAGTACCGATCAGCGGATACAGCATTAATTGCTGTATCCTGGGCATATCACAGAATTCTGACATCCACCGATCGATACTTTTCTGAAGTAGTGATACAACAAAGACCTGAAGACCTAGAAGCTACGGAGAAAAGTAAATACCGCGCTATCAGCCCAAACTAGCACTCAAAGGGGATAACTGAGTTGCAGTTAGCCCACATACGTTCACCTGAGGGTGAGAGGGTAAACCTCGGTCACACATACACATGCAATTGGAGACAGCATGTAAGGTGAGGATGCTGGAACGTATGGGCCGGTCTAACCTAACCAGTTAGGCACTTTCCCAAACCTCTTGAACGGAACTGTTGACTCATTCGGCCATGGTGTTGACTTGGCTCAATTCGGAGAGCATCTTTTGGCCCCCTGTGTCTAGCTGTCTGCTGCTGAGGTGCCACTGCCGAAGTGGGTAGAGCCCTCGCATCACTGCTCACGACCAACAAACCTTACACCATCATACATTCCAGGCAAATTCATGTAAGCCACACAGAATGATAGACAGCGCAGTTTGGGGCATGAAATGTGGTACTTAAAAAGAGGTTCCATGAAGGCATGATGCTGCAACACCAGGACCGCATCCATTGGAGTTTGGCGGTAAATCTGGTCATGTCCAATACCCAATTAATCTATGCTCCTGTCTCTCTTAACTGTATTCTCATGGCTCTGCCGAATTTGGCGTGCTTTCTGACAATGCTTTGGATAGTTGAGACGAGAAGCGGGAACCAACTGCCAAGAGCCCTTACACTGCAGCAGAACACAGCGCCAGCCAACCACTGCAGGCCACCAGCCGCCACACCACCACCGCGCGGCCCACCAAGGCCCCCAGCGGGGCGACACACACGCGACAGAACGACACACAACACGTTACCAAAGAACTCCCAGCGATGACCTGATCAAACGCTCGCGAGGCGACCCCTACTTCCTGAACCCTGGGAGATCCCTGACTACAGCCCCCTGCAACAAGCAGCACCCCTCCTGAGCTCCCAAGGCCCTACTACTAGGCTAAAAGACTCGACCTCAAAGAAACCCTCCTGACCCGCCCCTCCTGGCCCACAGGCTGTCCAGCTGGCCCTCAGCGGGCGTCTGCCACTTGCCCACTGGCTGTCCAGCCCCTCAACAGGCGTCAGAACCACAGAGGCAGATGGGTAATCACCCAGCAAGCAGCGCCAGCCACCCTTGCTTTCCAGGATTCGAACTAATCACTCCAGCATAGTAGCATGCTGGAACGATCTGAGAGGTCCAATGCTGCAATCCTGGAGAAGTGAACCGCCATAAGCTGCAGGTCCTCACATGTTATCACCTGCTGCTGAAGCTGGCTCCGGTGCTAGCTGCAGCCTTGACAGCGGCTGCATGCCCATGCATTACACCACAACCCAAAATGCCGAATTAGTGTGAGGGTGCTGTTCATACAGGCAAAATAGAATGAAGCCAATGGGCAGTGGACAAGGATGTTGCCTTGCTGTCACTACTTGCACCACCTAGTTGGTAACATATTTTGATCATCTATCCACAGGGTCATTGTCTAATAGATAGGACCAAGAAATATATCATCTACAGATTGTATGTATAGAAGGTCTATAGGCATCGTCTGATAGAGAGACCTGAAAATAGATGGTCTATAGATGATCATAAATTCGAGAGACAGCTGGTAACTCAGGAGTTGGAATAATATTATTCCCAAGAGGATGGTTGTGCTCCTGACCCTAAAAATTCTATGGAGATGAATGCCATACAAGAGGTACATGTAACTGTAGCCTGTATTCCTTCACCGCTACAGCCATACTTGGCAATAGTACATACATGGTTATGGCCATCCTTGCTGTCTTAATCCCATACATGGCCTGGCCTGTACTGTAAGTCTCCTTCAAAAATGGGAATAATCCTCTTCTGTAGGAGTCTCTGCTATCATACTGCCCCGAAATACCGGGGAAGGCAGGGTTTCGCAGGGTAGCTGCCACGGGCGAAGATACACCCCCCTGTTTCACACATCATACTGCATCCCATCCTGTCACCTCAGATGGATTGCAAGGGGAAACCGATACGTACCTGTACTGGGTCCTCACACGACTTTATCATTTCCATAGTTGCAGTGTTGCTGCCTGCTGATGTCGACACCTGGTTTGCAATACATGGATGGCTTCAACAGTTAGTTAGGGCCATCAAGTCAAAAGAGTGAGCCAAAGTAGTTTTCCAATTCTGGGTGACAACGGTGAATTCTGGGTGAACGAGTACTGTAGCAGCTGGCTGCTGAAAGGCCTCTCGAGATGCTGGTGGTTGTGCTACATGCGTATTTATAACGCCGTACTGTGTACCGGCTGCTACATTCCCCCCCTTTGAAGGGGTCCGTCCCGGGCCCTTAGATATACCACCAGCCTGTGCCTACCTTCGCCTACCCTCAGGCAGTGGGGTGTTCAAGCCCACGTCACGTCGTGCTCCCCTTCATGCACCTAGCCTTCAGGTTTTTCAGTCATAGAGACAGTCCAGTCGGTTCAGCTAATTTTTAATGGTTTTTTTTGAGCGATATTTGCTCACTGAGTCGCCAAACCCGTTTTTCCACTCAAGCGTGATTGGTGGGGGTTGAATCGACGATTTCAGGATCGTAAATTTTCACGAGGTCTCAATACCAAATGTAGCAGCTGGCCGCTGAAAAGGCCTCTCGAGATGCTGGTGGTCGCGCTACGCACGTATTTATAGCGCCGTACTTTGTACGGGCTGCTACAAGTACAGAGCTGCAAACGACCTTCCAACCGTGCAACACCTTCGAGGGCGGGGCTGGACCGAGACAATTCCATGTAGACCTTGACTACCTGCCAACTGACCAGCTAAGCTGTGCGGTGGTGACTGCTCTGGATGAAATGGCTGACATGACAAGCCAGCCCAACACATGGGATGTTTGCCAGGGTCTATGCTGGACACATTCATGCTACAGTAGCACTGCTACTGATATGGAGTTCAAACCCTAAAACCTTAAGAAGGGTGGTGCACCACTGGTGAGTCGACGGTGTAAGATTCCAATCTTACCTGCTTCCGGATGGGCATTGACAATTTGAAGTCATCCTCGTTGAACAGGTGGCCCAGCTGGGTCTGCACTTCAAAGGCATCCGCGTACATCATAGGATCATCGGTAGCAAAGGCTTCCAAGGCCTGTGCTGCCATCCAAGCCATAGGCAGGTCTTCCAACACATCCTTGAACTCCATATCAGTAGCACGAATGTGTCCAGCATAGACCCTGGCAAACATCCGTGTGTTGGGCTGGCTCGTCATGTCAGCCATTTCATCCAGAGCAGTCACCACCGCACAGCTTAGCCTGTCAGTTGGCAGGTAGTCAAGGTCTACATTGAATTGTCTCAGTCCAGCCCCGCCCTCGAAGGTGTTGCACGGTTGGAAGGTCGTTTGCAGCTCCGCGAACTTGGCCTCAAACTCGGTAACCTCCATCTTCTCGGTGGTGAAGAGGGACCAGTGCACTCCTACCTCCACGATCTCAGTCTCACCGTTTTCAGCTACTAGCGGTAATGATTTGGGCCCGTCACACACGATGCGAAAATGGCTGGGCAGCGAGGTCTTGGGAGCAGTAATTCCGCACTTGTACACCTCAGCACCCAGATATGCATGAGCCGCCTCGGACATTTCCGGAAAAAAGTGGAAAAACGAGACGCCAGGAGATTTCCCTGGCTTGCCGCTTTGAGGCCGCAAGATGTGGATGCCATCAGCAGCTGCAGTACTCCGCTGACTGCGGCCATCGACAGCTTGCCCTTTGGCTCGCTTGAAGTTTAGCGGCTTCAGGACGCGGTGCAGCGGAGTGTCTGGCATAGCATCCATGGTTTCCAGCAGTGGATAAATCTGTGGAATTTATTGCAATATATATGGTGGAACATATACTACCTATATGTAGCAGTGTTCAGTCTGCTGCGACCGCAAGCCGGCGCCCGCGGGTTTTGGCTGGTGGCGGGCGTGTAGGGCCCACTTCCTCACATGCATGCGGTCCATTTGCCAGGATTGTTCGCCCAGAATTCACCATTGTCGCCCAGAATTGGAAAAATCGTTTAGCTCATTCTTTTGCCTCGATGGAATGGCTTATGATGCGTTCAGCCTGTGCAGCTTGCAACCGCCGCACCTGTTAGGTCGCGGGCCGTCGCCTTCACTCATTGCATCAGTCCTTGGATCAGTCCTTGGATCAGTTTACTTTGTAATCCACCAGCTAAACCACTAAACCAACTCTCTTTCCAAAGCAGTTGGATTGTGCCATAACGGAAAACTTAATTAAGGACAAGCAGTCACGCAACGACCGCGGCAAAAGTGCAAGATGGCGAGGCACTCGGCACGAAACAGCTAGCGCCGCCTGCTTACGGCAAAACAGACACTCCCACAGCGATAATAATTACTTTGTTTGATGTCCCGGTGATGGCTGTCACCGGGACGAATTAACTGACAAGCCGACCTGAGCCGACAGTCTACCGTTCAGAACCCAACTTTGAAGCTGTAGTCGCTTCTCTCCTGCCGCGTCGAATTCCGAGCCTCCATCGGCTCAAGGCTCGGCTGATGTTGCTGGCTCCAGACTGGAGAAGCTAATTAGAGCAAACGGCAAGACTGCACCCTGGCTGGGATTTGGGCCTCACACTACAGACACTACAGACACGAAGGTGGTAGGCGAACCCGCTGCTCACGCAAGACCCAGGTTCCTGGCCACCGCCGAAAGCGCGATCCACAATCTGGTTTGGTGTAGGGTTTGCTGCACCCTGACATCCGACTGCCGCCGGCCGTGTGCCTTGTGCAGCTCGGCTGGGCCGCCATTGGCTGCTGCCGTACTGTTGCCGCCAATGTGAAGGGTGTGTGGCCTGATGTGGCCTAAAATATCCGAAGCTGCACACTGGCCGATAAGCTGGTCCTTGAAGCAGCTGTACCGTACACATAAGTGCGATAAATGTCCGGTTGGCAGAATTACACGTATTAGGCTGCTGTGGGTTTGGCCGAAGTGTCCCGCCGTCAGCTGCTGGGGGGGGGGTTCCACTGTAGTCCGCCATGACCCTGCGAAGTAAGGGGCCTACATCCCGCAAGTAATAACTGCCAGCGGCGATCAGGCGCTCTGTAAGGGTAACTCTGTAAGGGTAACGAGGCAGTGATAGCGTGTAATATCAGTGAAACCCAACTGGCTTACAGGACGGATTCGCTCCATCAAGATCTGGGCTCTTATCCATGTAAAGAAGAGTAGAAGTACATATTTCTAAACTTTCTCTCACTCGGGAATGATATACAACTCAGGCTTCCTCCCGAATATAAATACTCGTTGCTTAGGAGGCCGCAACAACTTCTGGTGTACGGTGTCCCGGTCGGGACGACCGAGGTGTCACCCCAGCTGAGTGATTGTTCCCAAACAAGGAGCGGTTGTTCCAACCAACGTATCGTTCCCAAGATGTCATCCCCAGACATTTGTAGACTGTTCCTAGACCTGTCTCGGTCAGTCATGTCTTATCCGCGTTGCGATTTAGTATTGTAACGCTAATTCACACTGCAACAGGCCGGCAAGGCCTCAGGACTTCTGCTATCACGCTGTGATGTGCGATGGTATGGGCTGTTGTTGGCCAGGTGTGGAGAATGGTCCCGGCGTCAGCTAAACCGCAAGGAAGGTTAAATTGAACATGTCACACCTTGTGTGCACAGCATTACCGCCGAGAACCCTAGACCCAAATCACCACAACCATCACATTCTGGGATGCAGTTCGCCTCGTGCAGCCAGTTCCCTAGGTCACCAGATTAGGTCTGGAACTGAACTGGAGAAGCCGATTTGGGCTCCTACCCTTCCGCGTATTCATTCCACAACAGTTTTTCCTAGTCTCCCCTTTTTGCCTGTGCTGCAGACGAACCCATCAGCGCCCTAAAGGGCAGGTGGGGGGTGACGGGGGTAGGCCCACGCCCTGTGTGGGCGACCTGACCTGACCTAATCAGTTGCAAGTGGTATGCATGGGCCTGGAGAGGGCGGTTTTGGAGCTTTTCTGTCCTCCCTACTGTCGCCGTAGCGACTACGCAGTAGGAAAGCGGAGGCCTTAGGCCGATTCGTCGTCCGTCTGTAGCCGTAGCGACTACGTAGTAGTCTAGCGGAGGCCTTAGGCCGATTCGCCGTCCCTCCGTCCGTCTCTCTGTCCACCACGTCGCCGGTTCAATCCCCAGCGCGCGAGCGTCTTTTTCTTTGCGCGCTTTTTTTTCTTTTTTTCTTTTTTTTCTTCATATGCTTCATATGCTTCATATGCTTCATATGCACATATGCACATATCCTTCAGATGCACATATGCACATATGCACATATGCACATATGCACATATGCACATATGCACATATGCACATATGCACATATGGCACATCTGCACATCTGCACATATGCACATATGCTTCATATGCACATATGCACATATGCCACATTCGATGTGCAAGCATATGCGATCTGCAAGCATATGCGATCTGCAAGCATATGCCAGATGCGATCTGCAAGCATATGCCACATTCGATGTGCAAGCATATGCGATCTGCAAGCATATGCGATCTGCAAGCATATGCAATCTGCAAGCATATGCCACATTCGATGTGCAAGCATATGCGATATGCAAGCCTATGCGATCTGCAAGCATATGCAATCTGCAAGCAGATGCAGTCTTCTGTTACATAACAGTAATGCCGTACACGCTTAATACACGCTTCATATGCACATATGCACATATGCACCTATGCTTCATATGCACATGCGCACATGTGTTTCATATGCACAAATGCTTCATATGCAAGCATATGCCACATGTGCAGCTTCATATGCTTCATATGCTTCATATGCACATATGCACATATGCTTCAGATGCACATATGCACATATGCACATTTGCACGTATGCTTCATATGCACATATGCACATGTGTTTCATATGCACAAATGCTTCATATGCAAGCATATGCCGCATGCGATGTGCAATCATATGTGATCTGCAAGCATATGCGATCTGCAATCATATGCGATCTGCAAGCATATGCCACATTCGATGTGCAAGCATATGCGATCTGCAAGCATATGCCAGATGCGATCTGCAAGCATATGCCACATTCGATGTGCAAGCATATGCGATCTGCAAGCATATGCGATCTGCAAGCATATGCAATCTGCAGCATATGCTGCATTCGATGTGCAAGCATATGCGATATGCAAGCCTATGCGATCTGCAAGCATATGCAATCTGCAAGCAGATGCAGTCTTCTGTTACATAACAGTAATGCCGTACACGCTTGATACACGCTTCATATGCACATATGCACATATGCACATATGCTTCATATGCACATGCGCACATGTGTTTCATATGCACAAATGCTTCATATGCAAGCATATGCCACATGCGATGTGCAATCATATGTGATCTGCAAGCATATGCGATCTGCAAGCATATGCGATCTGCAAGCGTATGCGATCTGCAAGCATATGCCACATCCGATGTGCAAGCATATGCGATCTGCAAGCATATGCGATCTGCAAGCATATGCCAGATGCGATCTGCAAGCATATGCCAGATGCGATCTGCAAGCATATGCCACATTCGATGTGCAAACATATGCGATCTGCAAGCATATGCAATCTGCAAGCATATGCCACATTCGATGTGCAAGCATATGCGATATGCAAGCAGATGCAGTCTTCTGTTACATAACAGTAATGCCGTACACGCCGTACATGCCGTATATGCCGTACATATGCACATATGCACATATGCACCTATGCTTCATATGCACATGCGCACATGTGTTTCATATGCACAAATGCTTCATATGCAAGCATATGCCACATGCGATGTGCAGCTTAATATGCTTCATATGCTACATATGCACATATGCTTCAGATGCACATATGCACATATGCACATATGCACATATGCTTCATATGCACATATGCACATGTGTTTCATATGCACAAATGCTTCATATGCAAGCATATGCCACATGCGATGTGCAATCATATGTGATCTGCAAGCATATGCGATCTGCAAGCATATGCGATCTGCAAGCATATGCCACATTCGATGTGCAAGCATATGCGATCTGCAAGCATATGCGATCTGCAAGCATATGCCAGATGCGATCTGCAAGCATATGCCACATTCGATGTGCAAACATATGCGATCTGCAAGCATATGCGATCTGCAAGCATATGCAATCTGCAAGCATATACCGCATTCGATGTGCAAGCATATGCGATATGAAGCATATGCGATCATAGCTATGCAATGCTACGCTATGCTACGCTATGCTACGCTATGCTACGCTACGCTACGCTACGCTACGCTACGCTACGCTATGCTACGCTATGCTACGCTATGCTACGCTATGCTACGCTATGCTACGCTATGCTACGCTATGCTACGCTATGCTACGCTATGCTACGCTATGCTACGCTATGCTACGCTATGCTACGCTATGCTACGCTATGCTACGGAGCTACGGCCCACTCGCGCGAACAGCGCGCTCTAGTAGTAGTCTAGCGGAGGCCTTAGGCCGATTCGCTGTCCGTAGCCGTAGCGACTACGTAGTACTCTAGCGGAGGCCTTGGGCCGAATCGCCGTCCGTCCGTCTGTCCATCTGTCCACCTCGCGCCGGTTCAATCCCCGGCGCGCGCGCGTCTTTTTTTTGCGCTCTTTTTTTTTTCTTCGTATGCTTCATATGCTATGTTTCATATGCTTCATATGCACATATAAACATATAGGACCACAATTCGATGCGCGCTTCAAAACGCGCTTCCGCGTCGGAATGAATGCCGTACGCGCTTCATACGGCGCGATTCGCACAGCTCTAAACACGCAATTCGACGCGCAATTCAACGTACAAGTAGCCGCGGAATTCGACGCGCACTTTGGCGCATAATTCGATGCGCGCTTCATATGAATGCCGTACGCGCTTCATACAGCACGATTCACACAGATCTAAATGCGCAATTCGATGCACAATTCAATGTACAATTAGCCGCGGGATTCAGCGCGCGCTTTGTCGCACAAGTAGCCGCGGAATTCGACGCGCACTTTGGCGCATAATTCGATGCGCGCTTCATATGAATGCCGTACGCGCTTCATACAGCACGATTCACACAGCTCTAAATGCGCAATTCGATGCACAATTCAATGTACAATTAGCCGCGGAATTCAACGCGCGCTTTACCGCATAATTTGATGCACGCCTCAAAACGCGCTTCCGCGTCGGAATGAATGCCGTACGCGCTTCATACAGCACCGTTCTTCACTTTTAAGCTTTGGTGCTTCTCGCAATTCCCCTTGTCACTGTGCCGAAATACTTTCGAGTTTTTTGCTCCTTCTTTTCGCTTCTTTCGCCTTCTCCGCCGTTGACGAGCTGATATTCTTAACGGCTCAATTAGTATACGTGTCCACCTCGCACGTGTTCGCCTCGTGTTCGCCTCGTTAGATCATTAGGTCTTTATGGCAGATCGGCCTCCTTCGAAGCGGCTTCGGCTCGGTTCGCTTGCAGACGGGTTCCGTTGTGGGAGAACACGTCCGTTTAGTGATTTGTGCACTGACCAAGCACCTCAGCAGCGGCAGCATGCTGCATCACAGCAGACAGCCGCGCCAGCTAATTCAAGGGGGTCCGCAGAGGGCCAGCAAGCGGTTGCTGCTGTCGATACGCCGGTGGAGGAGCAGCAACAGGCTGCTGAACCTTCTGCTGCGGAATTACAGGCTAAATGGCGACGGCAGAAAGCTGCACAGCGTGCCGCAGCCCCTCCTGAGTTGCGGGTGTTGCAGCGCCAGCAGGATGCTGCACGGCACGCAGCTGCACGTGCCGACCCGGAGGTGGGGGCGCAGCTGCGGCTGTATAACACTGCACATCACGCGGCTGCTCGTACTGACCCGGAGGTGAGGGCACAGCAACGGCTGCATGACACTGCACAGCATGCCGCTGCCCGTGCTGATCCGGAGGTGAGGGCGCAGGAGCAGCTGCAGAACACTGTGCAGCGTGCCGTTGCCCGTGCTAATCCCGAGGTGAGGGCGCAGGAGCAGCAGCGCAACACGGCCCAGCATGCGGCTGCACGGCAGGTGCAGCAGCAG